TTGGGCCACCATCATAATCCGTGTCGGTCGATGTCTCGAGTCGATTGGCGGACCGACACGAACTGTTCCACATCTGACCGAGACACATCGTCGACCTCCATCCACTTCCCTCCCGACAATTTCAAGCACTCTTTGACTCTCTTTTCAAAGTCTTTTTCATCTTTCCCTTGCGGTACTTGTTCGCTATCGGTCTCTCGCCAATATTTAGCCTTGGACGAAATTTACCGCCCGATTAGGGCTACATTCCCAAACAACCTGACTCGCCGACAGCGCCTCGTGGTGCGACAGGGTCTGAGCACAACGGGACCCTCACCCTCTCTGGTGCCCCCTTCTAGGGGACTTGGGCCCGATTCGCTGTTGAGGACGCTTCTCCAGACTACAATTCGAACGCCGAGGACGACCGATTCTCATGGTGGGTTTATCCTGGTTCACTCGTTGTTACTAAGGGAATCCTTGTTAGTTTATTTTCCTCCGCTTATTGATATGCTTAAATTTAACGGTCAGTTCTGTCGGTGACCAGGTCCGGACCGTCCGTTCAAGGGGCGGAAACAACCGAACCATGGCCTACGCAAAGAACCAAGATCCAAAATTTTGCATGAACATCTCTCCCAACAAATAGAGAGTGACTGCAAAGTTTTGCCTCATTCGAACGATTTTCCGGTGTTCAAGACGCGGATACAACGAAACCCTCGACATGTGCCTCTCACTTTGAGATGTGTTTTTGCAAGTTGTACAATCTCATGAGCAATCAGTTCTTCCAATAAAATAGGATCAAATAGTAACTCCTAAAATCAAGTGGAAAGACATTGAATGAGTAAAATGTGAAGATTGAGAAAATTAGAGGGATATGTGCTCTCTTTCTCTTGGAAGAACAACATCGCAAAAGAAATTTAATATTGTGTAGAAGATAAAGTATACATCCTAATTAGTATAATGAGACACAGAGTTAATGACGTTAAATAAGGGCTGAATTGGAGATAATCTAATATTTTTACATTTATATTTTTATGTTTATTTTATCTTATTTTATTTTTATATATTTTCCTTTTTTTTTTTGTTTTAATATAATTCTATAAGTATGTTTTAGATTGATTACTTCTTATCTATTATGACACATATATTTTAAATTAGTTTCTTAAACAATTTTTTTTATAAACTAATAACTTGCAGTTCAACTAACTTTTTTATTTTGTTATTGTATGAATAATCTATGTAAGCTCTATTTAAAAGTATGAGTTTTATGAAAATTCAATGCAGTTGGATAAGTGAACTTCTTCGAAGACCAACATCTGAAACTAGTAAGAATTAGCGAATCAAACACTTTTATTTTCTTGTGCATCAAAGAGAATTCCATAAATTTAATTATTCTCTAGAATTATCATGTATTCTCTCTACTGTCAATTGATAATAACCTTGAGTGAGTGAGTGAGAGTGTCAAGAGAAAATTGATGTGTGTGTAATGGTTAAAGAATGTCTCTCTAAAAGAAACCTTATAATCAACAATTTAAATAAATTGAAGAAATATTCTGATTTAATCATGGTAGTAAATGAGAAGATATTGCAAATCACAAAAGAGTTTATTTTCCTATCTATTTTATTTTGCAAAAAATATTAGTGTTTTTGATACTTAAGGACAAGCAACCCTTAAAGTTTGGGATTGTGATAAATCATTATTATATAGGGTATTTCATATATTTTACTATATTCTTTTTATAGAATTTATCGTGTATATATATATATATATATATATATATATATATATATATATATATATATATATATATATATATATATATATATATATATATATATATATATATATATATATATATATATATATATATATATATATATATATATATATATATATATATATATATATATATATATATATATATATATATATATATATATATATATATATATATATATATATATATATATATATATATATATATATATATATATATATATATATATATATATATATATATATATATATATATATATATATATATATATATATATATATATATATATATATATATATATATATATATATATATATATATATATATTTTTAAGCTAATGTTGAACTAAAAGATATGTGTTTTCAATGTGTAGTAATTTGTGTCAACAATTAACTCTTAATGGTTTGTTTAGTGGTGGAGGTTTGAGTCTTGAGAGTGTACTCTTCTCAAGGTCTCAGGCTCGAATCCTGCTAGGTGCAATAAATGTTAAATGTTTGTGTTGGGGCAATTCGTACGGAGTTTTGCTCTGACTTTAAACGGGGAAAAGTGCAAGAAAATAACCAACTGAAAGTAAAGATTAAAAATAAAGTTTCAAGGAAAAACATGTAAATATGAAAGATAAAGTTTTTCAAGAAAAGGCATTTAAACATAAAAGAGAAGGTTTAAATAAGAACATGCAAGATAAAATGTAGAATAAACAATAACATACAAATAAGAAAAATAACCAACTGAAAGTAAAGATTAAAAAT